AAATTAAAATAAAAGTTTATCAAATTATTGAGATGCATTGCTAAGATCTAGAATCCCCATTGTTAATCCACTTTTAGTATAACAATTAAATTGACAATTTGTTATCATACGAGTTGGTCAAAGTTCGAAATTTATTAAAAAGCCTCTCTCGATAGCAATTAAATCCATTCCCCTCATGCGACCTTCATATCTCTTGATGAAAAATACGAACATGATAAACGCATTAACGAACTAGAACATCTTTATGAACCATGCAAAGCATAGAAATATATCTCTATCTTCTATCGAACCTCACAATATTTATTACTATGTGCTAACGATTCTATTATCTCTCTCGATGATAATAAAATTCACAAACAATTCAATTAGTGGCCAATTAATTGAAAAACAAACTAAACCATAATAAGCATCTACGCATTCAAACAAATTAACGTCAAAAATAATTAATTAATATTAAAAATTTCAAAATAACGATTCATCTATATTTTAGCAATGTATAAAATTTAGCCTAGCATAATATTGAAATTAAACATGCAAAATCGGAACAACATCACCGAAAATTGATGAAACGTTATTAATTATCCAAGGTGAATGCGCGAACTCCTGTGTCATGTTCTGCCATTTTTTTTTAATTTTCTCTAGCCACCAACCTCTGTGTTTGTTTGATTTCTGTTCCAATTCTCATCTGTTTGTTGTGTATGTATATACAATATATTAAAACAGCCACAAGTTTTTTTTTTTTGTTGAAACCAAAGCTGCCCAGTTTTTTCTCTTCCGTCTGCGTGTGTGTATATATATATATATAACCTAAAATTTTAATCCAACCAAAAGTCTATGTTGAGGCCCAATTAAATTAATGCTTGCTTCCAAGTCCTCATTTCTTTCATATAATGCACGTTAGTCCTTGTACTTTGGATTTTGCCACATTTTGCTTCTTTCCTTCAATTTCCTTTTCATCCATAGAGTTTCACATATTAAATATAAAAAATAATAATTTAGAATATATTTTGTCAAAAGAACTATTAAATATCGTTATTTTAGGTCCCGAATAAGTGTAAAAAAATTACACTTATCAATAATCTAATCACATAAAAAATCTCACCATACAAAAAGGTTTGTTCAAAAGGATCATCATACAAAAAGTTATATTCTTTATTGTCCAGTTTTCTTCTTCTTTGCCTGTGGCCTGTGGGAGTATAAGTCTTTCTCTCGCCCTTACCTTGTGAAGAAGTTGGTGTTGTATCTTGCTAAGTAGAGGCATTTCTCTTTCCCTTGCCCTGTGATTGAGTTTGCTACATATCCTGTTATGTATCTTGCTGTGAACCTGCTTCAGAACATGTTCCCTTGTTATGGTTTATCCCACCACATTTTTTACATGTCATTTTCATTTAAATCCTTGCCATTTTGGTCTTGCAGGTGGCTCTACTAGCGATCTTTTTCTCAACTTCTTTAATCTGCCTACCTGTATCTTCTTTATAGGTGGATTCAGATGATGTTTCCCCAGCTTTGGCCACAACTCCAGACCTGACATTGGTTGGACGACTGGGCTATAGGACCTCATGTAAGATTCTTTCCTGTAGCATACATCTACATACTCATATATGCCAATGTTTCTCGATAGCATACCAGACATTGCATGCGCACAAGGTAATCTAGTAAGCTACCATTTTCTACATACACATTCACGCTTCATCAGGTCCACACTCCATCTCATTCTATCCCCATTGCTCACCTCACTTTTCATTTATAGCATAGTCAGCCTTCAAGAACCTTGCCTCTGCCTTTGCTTTCTCAACAATACTCATAACTCTAGGACCAAAAGCATGATCCCACCTTTGTGCAGCTTCCTTTAGGTATTCATCCTCAGCATTTGTTGGTGTCTTATCTTCTCAAGCATTGAGATAACAGGCTTTTCTCTTGTAATCAATATGGAAGAGTTGAATGCCTTACACAAGTTATTCAGTAGGATGTCGCACTTTGAATAATCCTGGAAATGTGATATATTCCACTGTGATGCTGGTTTCTCATTGAACCACTTAAATGCTTCTTCATTCATATTTTTCATTTCATTCATTGCACTTTTCCACTCTGGCACTATTGTTACTCGTGCTGCAGCCCAAAACATACTCTTCAAAGTCAGTCCCTTATGCACCAAGGTGAAATTGCTGTACAAATGTCTTGTGCAGCACCTATGTTCAGCACCCTCACATAATAAATTTATGGAGTCTACCAATCCCTTCTGTTTGTCAGAAATGAAGGTCCAAGCTCTAGCATTACACATCCCAATATCGACTACTAAAAGTTCTAACCATTCCCAATTTGTTCTATTCTCCGTATCTACCACAGCCTAGACTACATAAAACATGCAGTTATCGGCATCAATACATACTACAGCCAACAACTGCCCACCTTATGCACTTTTTAGGAAACATTCATCCAAACCAATCACATTCCTATACTCAACTCTAAAACCTTCTTTGCAAGCCCCCAAACATATGTATATTCCTTTGAATGTATCACATTCCCCTTCAATTCTCACTGTACTACCAAGATTAGTTCGTTTCACCTCATCACCATAGTCCCACAGAATCTTGTACTATTCAGCCCAATGCCATTTATAACTTCTGGACATATAGCTCGTGTCCTATAAAATTGATGTTTAGAGATCTCATACATACAATCCTCATTCACCGTCTCCGTAAACTATTCATAGACATTTTTGGGTCAGATCTGAACTTTCGTATATATTTTTTTGCCAAGTAACCAGCATGCACTCTTCTATTCTGCCACACCATTGTGCATGTATGTTCATCTCCAAATGTTTTAATCCTGAAACTTTTATCTGGTTGCGTGTAGGCATTCAAAAGCCATGGATAGTTGTCTTGACTATTGACTCGTAGTCTTGTTTCGTCATTCTTGACATATTTTACATGCCTTGCATTTTTAACAGAGTACTGTACAACTGCTTCCCTCAATATCTTTATGTTGTCAAACTTCATGCCTATTTAGAATTTTAGATCTTGCATGTTTGTAGTAGGATTAAACAAATGCTCATCCCTGGCTCTTGAAGAGCCACCAACTTCTTCGATATCACATTGAATACTTCTAAGATCATCTGACTCATCATATTCTGTTCCATCACCATCCACATGCCCTGCTCCACCCTCATGTTTTGTCTTCGGATTTTCATCACCAATATCAAAATCTTCAGACAACCTGAAATATGCATCTTCATCATTATCATCACCAGGCACATCTTCTTCCTGCTCATAATCTGAATAACTGAACTCATCCAATATGCCTTCCTCAAATTCCATCTCATTATTTCCTTATCTAGTGTTGGTATGGTCCACATTTTTAGCAATAACAGGTGCATCATCCGGTGGTGCATCTGCAGGTGCATAGATGCCTCATTATAGTCATGCAGGTCTGTCACCGATTCTTCACCTATGGGTTGATCACTCATATTATGCCTACCTGTAGGTACATGATCTTCTGTAGGGGAAGGTGGTGCATCTGCTGGTGGTGTATCAACATGGGGTGAAGCAGCAGGGGTTTCATCAACACATGATGCATCAGCAGGTGCATCATGTTTTACTTCAACAGGTGCATCATGTTGAGGTGAAACAAGTGACTCATTGTGATCTGTAGTATGTGCCTCTTCATTGTGATCAATAAATACATGATCTTCATATGCATGTAAGTCACTCACTCCACTTGCAGGAACATCAGCAGAACTCCCTGCATCCACTTCTATTTCGTCAACATCACCATTGCTGTCAACCTCATCGACAACATACAAGACATCACCCTCCAGAAACTCATCATAAACCTCCACGCATAAAATACATTATGCTCAAACTGTTTGTCAACATCTAGTTTCCCTTTTTCTTCCACCTCCTCCAACACTCACCAGTGTCAACATCATCCACCGAAATATCATGCCCTACGTTGTCATCCCATGGCAATTCCAACATTTCAACTACGGGCACACACCACATCTCAGCAAGCCTCTTTTCACCCAGTGTGGGAAAGTCGAGATGATCCCGGACCGGTCAAATTGACACCCAGCCTTTTGAATATGATTTAATAGTTTCGGTTAGGATGCCATTGCTTTGGTTGATATTCCAAATTACTCTCATTCTATTCAAAATGCTTCGTCGCCTTTGTTAGACTTTAGGTATCCGTGTTTTCTTCCTTAAAAAAAAAAAAATCCTCACATTTTTTGGCTTCATCACCTTCTTTGAACATTCAGGCCTATCTCATAACTTTTTCTCAAGCTTGAAACAATTTACTGCCTGTAGTCATGTTTCGCAGAATCACTCATATTTTTCCTGTAGTCTGGTTTTTTGTCAATGCTGGAGGTTAAAATCCTAAAACTTACAAGATCAAAATACCAGTTGAATTTGTCACAGAATAAATTTATTATGGCTGCTTAGCACTTGAATTACCTATTTAATTCAAACAGAGCATACATTCCACGCCCCAGTGACAAAAATAGAAAAAACAATTAACAGCATTCCAGACGCAGTCTTGGGAGCTGGAGAGTATTCAGTACCTCAGTGCAGCTCAGGAGTTCCTTATTGAACTAAAGAACAACGATAAATTTACAATTCTTCAGAACTTTACAGGCTTAAGGAACGTAGATGAAAGTCTCACAAGGATTAGAACAAGTCTATGTCCAGTTACAATTTTATAGAGCAGGGCCACACTATCAACCACGGCTCCATCTACATTTTACAGAAGAGAATGTATCATAGGGTTTTAATCTACAATTTTTCCCATATCAGTTAACACACTAATGATCCTGCTATACATATTTCCTGTACAAAATGATCATCAGTCAGAAACAGCCGAAGGCGCTGAAATTTCCTTTTCTAATGCGTTATTAAAATAGAAGCTTTCTACAACAGGAAGGTTCGTAGTTTGTTTATAGAGTTGGTAGATGAACGCTATCAGTATTGTGGTGAAATCGGCTAAGAAATTATGTTAACAAGGCAGTGAACGACAGATAGAACAATATAATTCAATAGTGTTTCGATATACATTATACAATAAGTTTAAAGAGATACACAAGTATTTAACAACAGAGGAAAACAATAGAACTCACATGATTAACATGGATTTGGAGTAATCCAAATTGGCCAGTGTGAAATTCGAGGATAAAATGGCAATGATTCAATACTACCATCCTCCAAATTGTAAAACCCCACATCATGATCCCCACTGATTCCGTGATTTCCATCATAATTTGCTTCAGAATAATCATCCGCAAAGTAAATCCTGTTACCTTTACAACCTGGATAATCAGTCGCCAATATCGCCAATGATAAATTCTCCCCCAAAAACAGCACTCTATCTCCCAAAGTCATGATTCTCTCCCACTTCGGACCACTCAAATCCAACCTCCACACGCAAAACTTCACTGTCTTGTACACATTGTCAAACTGATGTTCCACACGCTCGGGATCAGTCTCAAGCTCTAAGTACCGCGTGATCAACAATAATTCTCCCATTGCATCCACCAAATACTGCATATCCCCGCCAATTGGCTGCAGCATTTTGATAAATGAAACCTTAGGAAAATCTGCATCCTTAACATCACAAATAGCAATTGACCCAAATTTATTCACAGCATAAAATGAGTCATTAAAATAAATTACATCCTCACAATATGATCGCGCTTCGTCAATGAATTTCCAGGAATTTTCCCCCTTTTCACAATACGCGAGATCTCCGGACCAATTAAGAATCGCGAAGGCAGTGAAATTCGAGTCATTGTAAGGGTTGTGAGAGAGGATGACTTTTTTAATAAAAGAGTCGCGCATTTTCCTTAGATTACAATTATAGACGTCAGCGTCTGGAGACCGGAGCGTGTATTCACGGCCTACGCTGTAGAAATCGAAATTTAGGACATTTGGAAAAGTTGAAAGCGCTGGGAGATTAACTTTGGCGCGGGTAATAGGGTTAATGAGGAAAATAGAAGGGGATTCGTCGATAAGGATGAGCCAGCCGTGGGAGGAGCCGACGCGGCGGCGGCTTAGGGAGGCTTCTGGCAGCGTAAGAAGGTGTATCTTGTTACTAAGAGCGTCCAGGAAGGCACGCCGATGAGGGAAAAGCGCAGATCGGCCCGGCCGGAGCATGAGCCATGGGAATTCGCGTGGAATATGGCGGGGAGTTAAGGGAGCAGCGGCGCGCCAGCTTGAGCAGACTGCTCGGAATCGGATGTAATCGGCTTGTCTACGGAGGTTTCCCGCAATAGTCTGGAGGAGCGCCGGCGTAAGTTCCGACCAGTCAACGATGATAATGGTGGTGGACATGGCTCTGACTGGTGAATTGTTGTGGCGAATTTTGAATAGATTTTTTTTCTTATTTTTAGCGAAAATGCCGGCAGGTCCTTTTCAAAATTTAAACAAATTAACTTTGGAGGACCCCGATTTCTTAAAGATGTTGTAAGTTAGTGTTCAACTATTCTTTTTGTATGGAGACAACTTCAATTATGCTCAATTCCTAAACGGTAATTACTACTGAGATATTCCATCTATATTTGTTATAACACTTATATTCTTAATTCTTTTTCTGTATTCTTATAATTAATCTTTTATTGATTAGAACATCTCATTCACTAATACCTATTTTCGTCCAAAAATCTGTAAAAATGATGTAAAAGTAGGGGTGTCCAAAAGTCTCGAATCGAATCGGACCGAACCGAACCCGACCCGAACCGAATCGAGCAGTTCTTCATAAATTAAATACCCGAACGGATACCCGAATCGAGAACCGATGGGTTTGGGTCGGGTCTCGGGTCTAAACCAAAAACCGAAGAATCGAAACCAAATAATTTTTTTATTTTTTATATTGAATTAATTAAAATATTTTATTTTTTTTTATACAAATTAGCAAATTAATTAAATAAATCAGATTATTTCATAATTTTAATTTTAAAGTCCAAATCATTTTTAAAACCCATTAACCCATTTTAATTTGAAGCAAATGAATATACTTTATGTAGTTTTGCTGTAATATTAATATCTACTTTTTGGTATTTGTATACACTGAATTAATCTTATTGGACGGCTAGTTATTTATATGTTTTTGAATTGAGTTACGTTAATTTGTAAAAGTTACGAATGAAATGTCATTAGTTGTATTTATGTAGTGTTACTGTAAATATTAAAAAATTTGATTATGGTACGGAACCGAACCCGAACGGTTCCATAATTATATTTGGACCCGATGGGTCCATTTATTAAATACCCGAAAGTTTTGGGTCGGTTCGAATATCTTCAGAACCGAACCAAACCGACCCACGAACAGCCCTATGTAAAAGTACCTATTGTATACACAAAAATGCAACTAAGTATTTGTCCCTTATTTTTAAAGCACGCTAATAAATTTCTTTAAAAAAATCAATATTAAGAACAATATATGATAATTAATGGAAGATTGAGAATACGAATGCAATGAAAAAAGATGAGATGTGTGTGTGATAATAAGTAAAGGTTATCGACCTTTGATACAATTAAAATGGAATGCATTTATTAAAAATTATTATGTGAATAACAAGGTTAATTAAAAATACAAAAGAAACTTTATATGTATATGTTATTTACTGAATTGTCATTCATGTTTTAAAATGTTGATGTTACATTGTGAAACTTTAGAGGTAGTCTCATGGGAGTGAAAGCTATCGCTCGACGAGTGCTGTTACATGCATATGATCAAGGTGGATAGTAGGGGATACTATCGTGAGTATCCGGGTTTGCAAAGATTTATGGGCACCTATTTTTATGTGAATCATTATCACGTGAAGCTTTTATTCAAAAGTCTCCACGTGATAGTGATCCACATCGAAATAGGTGTCTATAAATCTTTGCAAACTTGGATACTCACGATAGTAACCCCAAATATCCACCTCGATCATATGCATGTAAGAGCGCGTGTCAAGTGATAGCATCCACTCTCTTGAGATCACCTCAAAGTTTCGCGTTGCAACATCTACATTTTAAAACATGAAAAGCATGAATGACAATTTAATAAATAACATATACCCATGCAATTTAATAAAAACAATATCATTATGGTCCCAATTATAATTCTTATTTTTCTCCATAGCACTCAATACATATAGCATACACTAATTGGCCAATAACATAGTAATCCAACCTCTAACACTAGGGTCCTGTTTGATAGGCCAAATTTTCCTAGGAAGATGGAAATTATTCCACCATTTTCCACCTTTGGGCCTAGTTGATGGCAAATATTTTCCAGGCAATTTGTTTTCTCATTTCCGATCACATGACGGTTTTTCCACAAAATTGAGGAATCGGTTTCCCCATGGGTGAGATGGTTTTTCATTTTCTTGGCAAATGGCAATTGAAACAAACCCATCAACTGAGGAATCACCATCGACTTTCCATATATTTTCTGAAAATACATAGTTTACTAACTAAATTTGACCTTACGTGCGGAATTATTCTATTAAAGGGAACAAGTCACTTTTTAACAGTTTTTAGATGATTAAGCATACAATTCAATTATCCTATGTTTGAATATCACAACTTGTAATATGGAAAGCAATAAAGAATGAATACCAAAATGATGACGACAAAACCCAACTGGGTAAAAACTCCGGGATCAAATTAGTTACCTTCACTATAGATAATATAGATTACAGTCCGTTTCCAGCCTAGCAAATTCCACTAGTTCCGTCTATTGTAATTTCTGTAATCTCCAAGATCTGCAGTTCCTCCAGACTCACGATCTGTTACCGTATATACTATCTAGCCAACCTGCTATATCTCCTTCTAGAAACTTCTGAAGTCCAACTGAGAAAGTACCTTCCTCAAAGTGTTAAGGAAGTTAGATGTTTTCTCCATAGCACTCAATACATATAGCGTACACTAATTGGCCAATAACATAGTAATCCAACCTCTAACACTAGGGTCCTGTTTGATAGGCCAAATTTTCCTAGGAAGATGGAAATTATTCCACCATTTTCCACCTTTGGGCCTAGTTGATGGCAAATATTTTCCAGGCAATTTGTTTTCTCATTTCCGATCACATGACGGTTTTTCCACAAAATTGAGGAATCGGTTTCCCCATGGGTGAGATGGTTTTTCATTTTCTTGGCAAATGGCAATTGAAACAAACCCATCAACTGAGGAATCACCATCGACTTTCCATATATTTTCTGAAAATACATAGTTTACTAACTAAATTTGACCTTACGTGCGGAATTATTCTATTAAAGGGAACAAGTCACTTTTTAACAGTTTTTAGATGATTAAGCATACAATTCAATTATCCTATGTTTGAATATCACAACTTGTAATATGGAAAGCAATAAAGAATGAATACCAAAATGATGACGACAAAACCCAACTGGGTAAAAACTCCGGGATCAAATTAGTTACCTTCACTATAGATAATATAGATTACAGTCCGTTTCCAGCCTAGCAAATTCCACTAGTTCCGTCTATTGTAATTTCTGTAATCTCCAAGATCTGCAGTTCCTCCAGACTCACGATCTGTTACCGTATATACTATCTAGCCAACCTGCTATATCTCCTTCTAGAAACTTCTGAAGTCCAACTGAGAAAGTACCTTCCTCAAAGTGTTAAGGAAGTTAGATGTTTTGGATTCATGAACTTTGATGTTTTCCCAAAACTTGGTTGTCAGATCTCAAGAATGATATGGATGAATTACCAAATAATCATGCTCTTTGATCTTTCAAAATGTGATGTGAATGTGTTATACAATGAAAGCACAATTAAGCAACCACCAATTTTAGTCCCAGACATCTGTTTTATAGTTGGGGACGCTTAAGTGTTATGGGCCGTGTAAAACTCTTCGAAATTGTGAATTAGGTCTGGCTGCATAAATATGTCTCTCGAGCGACGGCAAGGCGAAAGGCGGGGGACACAGTTTCTGTTTCTGACGCTCGAGTCAAGTTTTGAAGACAATCTAGCGAAATTCCAGAGTCATGTTTTCCTTGTTTTCAACCTCTAACCCTAACTTAACTCATCTATACAAAATTGCATCCAAGTCCTTAACTTTTTACAAGTGTTCAATTAAGACCATTTTGTTCACAAACATGCCATTACAACATTGGACCTAACATTTTCCATAACCATCGACTTAGAAGGAAGATTCTAGATTTATGTGGGTTCTTCATCTTCATCTAAATAGATTCTGGAAATATCTATAGTGGTATCCATAGCTAGAAGAATCTAGAAGGATTAGTACTGATTTTATGGAAGAATTCTCCAAAGTTGAAGGAAGCCACCATCATCGACATTATGGAATTATGTAGAAGAAGAAGAAGCCACTGCCATTGTTGTCTATAAATAATAGCTGAATATATGATGTATGGGTGAAGTGAAGAATGTGGAAAAAAAATAGAAGTGAGCTGAAAGAAACAGAGAAAGAGAGAACGTGTGTAAATGGTGTATGTGAGAACAAGAAGAAAAATTGGGAAAGAGATAGAGCGAGGTAGTGTACTGTCTTGTGAGGAGAGAATTAAGGGAGGATATATAAAAGTGGTGTGTGCATGAGAGAGAGAGAGAGAGAGAGAGAGAATGCTGATCGAAAGTCATGCATTGGAATTTGTGCCATAAAATACAATTTTCATGGAAAACAAACCCAACCAAACACCAGAAGATTGAAAATTTCAACATTTTTCAAGTGGAAAATTATATCAATCAAACATGATTAATTGACAATTCCCAGTAAAACAAGTTTAGGCAATTCAATTCCCTGAAATTTGTTTTCCTTCCACCCATATTCCATTCTTGCAATCAAACAGACCATAATTGTCCCCTATTAGGGTTTCACACGATTCTAAGTCAAAATAACGTTATATCGCCTCTCAGGATTCTAAGGCTGCTCACGGTATATATCTCACATAGTCATACATATTAATAGTAGGATAGAATCTAAAAATTTATAATCTAAGCAAGAAAACGGGATTTCTTGATAATCAAGTAACTCAATAAACATTACGCAATGAAATTCACATAGCCACGTAAAATTATATCTACAAGGTGTATACGTTACTCAATGTTGGATGATAGAAATTGTTCAGGACTTGTAATAAACAGACAAATACAAAATCAACACAAACTCAAATAAGTTGTGTTAGAATTTGGGTGTGACTCGAATTTCTTGTTGAAATAATTGAAAAATTCTAATTGAAGTGCACGTTATGAAGAATTCAAATTTGGAATATTATTGGAGTCATATGTCATGTTGAAGTTCTATTTTGGAAGCTTATTGAGAGTTGAAATTTGTTTTGGACTCAATTTTATGGTATTTTATT